TTAGGGCTTAGGGTTTAGGGTCTCTTGGGGTATCTTAGGTGGTCGGCTTTGCAACAACTCGCGTCACAATGGACCCAAGTGTGCAGGTAACCCCAGCTAAAGCCAAGGTGTTGTCGGGTCTGACAGCTAGCAGCAAAGGCAAAGGGTTGAGGGTGCCCACTGTGTGGTCTACATTATTCTACATCGGACCCGCTTCGTTGATGCCCAGGTTTTGCTACGATGCCGGCGATGATGGGCACACGCTGGTGGGCCCTGTATATCAGGGCTCCGGGTGCTATGGGGGGGGGGGGGGCATTTGATCCCGAAGATCCCCCAGGCCCAAGGCCGAAGATCCCCCAGGCCTTGCTAAGCCTGCTAAGCCGCTGAGCTCAAACCTGTCTGCGAGAGTCGCCTCAAGGCCGGATGCAACATACTTCACCATGCAGCACGCGGTGGAGGGATCAGGTTTCAGTAAGCTAAAGCCCTAAACCCCAAAGCCAATCGTGGCGGCTAATGTGCCGCTGATGCTCGGACCCGTCGCCTCACCAGGCTTGTCCTACTGTAGTTGTGAGTGCTGTAAGCGTGCCACACCCTCCAGCTATGACAGAGGTGCCTTAAATCATTAATATACTAGGCTTTGGCGGAATACCATCGGATAACTATTATAGCTATCATATCCCGAGGTAGTATTGGGGAGACCCCTAAAAGGCGACCCTTCTTAACCCTAAAGGGGACCTTATTGAGAGGTTCTAAACCCCCAAGGGCCCCTCAACCCATAAGGAACCTGAAAGAATAAAGCTTTCAATTAGTCCGACCCTTCTGTTACAAGAGCTCCAGATATCATGAGACCTACCGCGCCAGGCTGCAACAGGTTTCAGTGAGTTGCTTTGTGTGTGTTGCAGCGTTTTGGGTTTAGGGCTGTATACAGTAGGGTATAGGGGGTTTAGGGCCGTTTAGGGTTTAAGGTTGAGTGGGTTTAGGGTTTAGGGAGTTTCATTGTTCCTCCCGAAGGTTTCTCTGGATCAGCTGATGAACTGGGGTCAATGCTCCTCTTGGGGCGTGTCTTGGAAGATTTCGCATCATATTCGGGTTGGCAAGTTATGCAGTAAGACTGTCCGAATTCGAAGTCATGAGTTTAGGGTTCAGGGTTTAGGGTTTGGGATGTGCGATGCTATGCCAGGCTGTCTCGGTTCAGGTTCTCGCGGAAAGCTACTTCATTTGGTTGTCCTATCCTGTCCCTCACGGTAAAAACATCCCTTATATCACCTTATAGTTCGTTCTATAACCCTTGTATTCTACCCCCCCCCCCAAACCCTGCATCTTATAGCCCCTCTTGAGTCATGATTCTTATATAACGCCCCCCATGGACGGGAGAGACTGACTGGCTGGATAGGGCTCATATAGGGGTTGCCAGTTTATTTCAGGACACGCTGGAGATACTTCTGTGAGCTCTTTTGGTATTATAGTATATACTGTGGTAGTGCCAGAAAGATGTGAGACGATGACTACTACTAACTACTACACGTAATGATGCTGTTGGTCTTGCACTCAGCGCTATGATTGATGATCATCCACATAAGGGGTTGGAAAGTAGCGGTATTGTTCCATACTGTTAAAGTTCCTTATCGTAGCTCTACTACACGCACCCTATACTACATTACAATCGTTGTCCTCGCCCTGCTTCAGATGCCCATCCCCCCAGCAGTGCGGATTTGCGTTAGGGGCTTGGTTGAGTCATGTTGAGTCTTGGGTGAGAGTAAGGCTCGCGGCTTGGATGCGGGGATTGCCGCGTTGAGGTTGAAGGGTTCAGTCTCGCTCAGCACGCATAGAGAAGCCCAAGTTTGATCAGCTTTTGCCGAGGGCCTCCACCCTAAACGACACAGCACCCCCCTAAGCCCTAAAACAGAAACCTTAAACCCTAAACAAAAAAGCCCAAACCCTAAACCCTAAACCCTAAACCGTTCCGTGTTGCGAAAGTGCAACCCTGAAGCTTCAACCGTACATTCCAGCACAGCTCCATTGTGCCAAGGGCTTCGATGCGAACCCTATCTTGGACCTTGACTTTGCCGGCAACGCCTGTAGCTATTTCACAGCTACTCATGATGCAGCTTCAGGTTCTAGGGTTCAGGAGTTCAGGGCTCTTGACATCACTCCTGCTACTGCCAGAATTAGCATCAAACAAATTAGCTGAAAGAGGTCGTATGGCACAAAAGTTCGCTTTCGGGAACGGCTTCAAAATCGTGCTTTGCTGTTCTGTCCGGCTACTTGACAAACAAGCGGCTCCAGACGACTTACTTGGCTCTACTAAACCCTTACGCGTCTCGAGCCTTACAACAACAATACATATACAAGAAGAAGAATGTCCATAGTTACCGTCGGCTGCAAGTACGGAAGCAATGCAAGATTCGAGAACGGCAACAAGTAGCAAGCATAGATAAAAGGGTCACCATCACGGGCATGCTGACCACCTTATGCAGTGCAGGGCATTTCTATGATTCAGTGCATTCAGGCTAGGATTGTGCTCTAAGCCCAACATCAAACCTCGCACTGTCAGGCCGAAGTCAAAAAAGCTTGACAACTCGTCTCTTGCAGAAGTTGCCCAGGTCGGCAAGGTGAAGGCAGCCACCCTGTCAATCACCGTGCTGGCGGGGACCACAGAGACGGGGGTCAGTCAACAAAGGTTCACGGTTTATAGGCCTAGGGGGTAGCGGCACAAGGCAGAAGAGAAGTGGAGACTCCGCGTGTGCTTCCTCAATTCTCGGTGTGGCCCTGAAGATCGGACCCTGGAGAAGGGTTCCTGTTACGGAGCAGAGCTTTTGATAGGACTTCAGGATGTTTGCGGCTGAATAACTAGTAGCAAGGGCTCAGGGTAACTCAGGGTATAAACTTTCCGCGCAAGGTGATGATCCAGCTGCTGAACGCGTTCAACGCCGTGTCGGAGGACAGCACTGTCGGTTCATGATGGAACTCGCAGCTCTCAACAACATAGGTTCCCACTGTGCTCAAATCCAAGACGAGTTCGGCATGCAATTCTTCTTACCACCGTTGCGGTTTTGCCCTCGCATACCCCCCCCCCCCCCTCAAATCCTGTACCCTGAACCTTGCACCCCTGAGCCCGGAACTGAACCTTTCTGCATCTCTCGCCCTGAAGATGCCGCTTCTCGGAGATAGTTCTACGTAAACACCGTCTGGAGTCTGAATCCCAAACTTCGAAATCGGACCACCCCAAACACCCACAACCCTGAACCCGCAAGCTTAACAAATCAAAAGGTCTAATGTAGGGGCCTTCATAATTACCACTACTACTTTGGGAGGTTCCGTATTTTATAAGTATAGTATACTAATCACCCCAAAACCCTCTTCTATCTATTAAGGGCCCCCTACAGCAAGCATGTCCGAAGCCTGGCAACCCTTTAGCCTTCGACCAGAGTTTCGCGTAGCGTCGCGAGTTTGGAGTGCAGGGCTATAGGAGTCCAAGGGTTCGGAGTGTTGTGTGTGTTTCAGGGCTTCGGGTTTAGGGCTTCCGGTTTAGGGCTTCGGGTTTATAGGGCCTAGGGTTTGGGGCTTCGGGTTTAGGGCTTCCGGTTTAGGGCTTCGGGTTTAGGGCTTCCGGTTTAGGGCTTCGGGTTTAGGGCTTCGGGTTTATAGGGCTTAGGGTTGAGGGCTTCGGGTTTAGGGCTTCCGGTTTAGGGCTTCGGGTTTAGGGCCTAGGGTTTAGGGCTTCAGGTTTGGGGCCTAGGGTTTTTGGTGACTTTTAGTTTGGGTAGGATTCCGGGTTAGGGAGTTCAAGGGCTGAAAAAAGATAAGCTTGGGCAGAGGACGCTTCCCTCCTGATACGGCCTCCGTGGACGAACCCGTATCTCGTAGTTGCCTGTGCCCTGGCGGAGGTTTAGGGACTTCAAGAACCCCTAAACCGTCCCTAATCCTGAACCCCCTAAACCCTACACCCCTATATCCCTAAATGCCTAAACCCTAAATACTAAACCTTATATAAACCCTCCACCCCTAAATCCCTAGATCCTATATCCGAAACCCTAGGGGGTTCTGTGTTTAAGTCAGGGCGAGATAGACTCGAACGCTGGTGAAAGGTGTGAGTGGTGCCGACCTTGCAGCAGCTAACTTCAGGGATGGTAGTAGAGCTCCAGGGCAGCAGAATCATGATTGTAGCAAATCATTACTACTGTTTTTACTAATAATAGTAGCAGCCATAATAATAATGACGATAATACATACTAAAAAGCAAGTCGAATAGGAAAAATACGACAAGCAATCATAATAAAGTAACAGTCGTGATAGCTGCTGTCGGGTGAAACTTTCTCTTCTCTATCGAAATGTCGAAACAGAGCATGCTGGGGCTTCGAGACATGCAAGCTTGCAATGTCTCCTGCAAGAAGCCGCAGCTCCAGAACTCCAGGACATCATCAGGTTCTGGAGTGGAGTTGGACCCCCACGGAAGCTCCTACCTGAGCCCCAAGCCAACTCCAGCTTTCCGAGAATTAGCTCAAACCGCCCCATCAAGCCCAAGAGCTAAACCCCTACAAGTGAGGAGCACCTAAAGCCCAACCCCTGGATGTCAGGTTGCTACCCTGCGTCGTGACTTGCTCAGGAATGCAGGAGGCTAAAGAGCAAACAGCAGACCTAAACCTCTAAGCCCCCAAAAAGCAAACCTCAACCCTAAACCTAAACCATCCTGAACCCCTAAGCCCCTAAACCCTTGCCTGCCCGTGCGAGAGTGAGAGTCGAAACCCACAGAAGCAAACTAAAAGAAGCAAGCGTCAGCGGAGGTGGAGGCTCCGCGGCGCTTCACTGCCTCATCCTGTGATCTAGCAAGAACTTGTGCGAGGGGTTGAGGGTTAAGGGTTTAGGGTACAGGGTTTTAGGGTTCAGGGTTAGGGTATAGTAATAGAGTGCAAAGGATTTAGGGTTTGAGGGGCGGCGTATTGAGGGACTCTACGCGCTGATTTGGTTGAAGCCTGAGATAGGGTTTCTGGGAGTTTCGTCAGACGTTTTTTTTGAGTTGGGGGTTCAGGGTTTGTTTGGAGTTCCGGCTTTGACACTAGAGGTGGGCTGAATACTCGCATTACAAGTAATAGTATTGGTACTAGTACTCTCTATAAATCTTGACCGTGAACACCCTAAGCTGATTAAAACCCAACCCCTGTCACCTCAAATCAAACCGCCCATACGCTCCTTCGTGCTGTGACGAAAGCTCATGTGATGCATTTCGGCGGAGAAATTGCTTGGGTGAGTTGAAGTTGTGGGTTTAGGGTGTTTAGGAACCTCGGTAGAAAGTACCTGAGTGAAGCTCAGGAACTGTTCCGGAATTTTGGCCCTAGGGTTCCCAAATTGCTGCCTCAAGGTTCCGGAATCGGGAGACGCTGTTCCTGACACGGGTTGCTGAATTCCGTCTTTCCCTGAATCACTGAATCCTGGTTCCTGAATCGGCCACGCAGTTCCTGAATTTGGTTCCCGACTTGCTTGCTGTCCGCATCAAGTCGCTCAGCCCTGAGCCTTTCTTCCATGCCTCGTACGCCAATGGCTACAAGCCCCATAAAGCCGTCAAATATGGGGCATATATTACCAAGACTAATTTGGGGGTTCCTTATCATGATGATAGTAAACACCACAAAACCAAAGCTTGGCCAAATTATCCAAGCCCCTGTGTGACATCCCACGGCGCCCTAGTGGAAGCAAAGGGCCATCCCGAAACAGAGGGCTCACGGTGTCCTGGAGATAAGGTTTATAAGGTCCTAAACCCTAGGCCCTAAACCCTATCGGCCCTAACTCTTGGGGGGCACCGAGGTATACGCCGGCATTGGCAGGCATCTTTGGTGTGTGCCCCCTGGATGCCCATGACTGGATGTTGGTGGCCCTCTTCTCCCTGCCGGTGCTACTCTTGGACGAGGCCCGGGTTCCTCCAAACCTAGAGACCTTGGGGGCTATAGGGCCTATATAAAGCCAAGGTTCGGGGAGTTTAGGGCAGGATTTTGGGGGGTTTCTAAAGGGCCTAGAGGGCTTAGGACCTATGGGGTTTAGGGGTTTCAGCACTGAGATTCGAGACCCCGGATCTGTTGAACATCCCAAGGTGCTCAAGTTCTTCAGCCGGCAGCAGAGGACGTCTAACTAGCCGTCTTCTCAGGGCGCAAATGTTTCAACCAAGCGAACAGAGAGTCAAATTTATTTTAACTCCAGCCGCCTTTAGATTTCAAAAAGACCGGCGAGCGGAGAACTTCTGCCTTGTGGGGCGGGACCTCTAGGGTTTAGACTACATGACTACATCGACATTTCAAGTAGCCGAACTGGCATAATAGTGCTAGGGCTTTCAAATGCTTTCAGTGCTATCTGATAACAACAAGCAGCCCATAAAACTGGAAACATAACAGTATTGACTGTTAGCTGTATCAGGGGCAGTATCGCACCCTCCCAAGGCCAAGAGAAAACCCGCTGTGTGCAATGGTGCGCCCCGGGCCATGCTTTCGAATTTTAAATTTACAGCCTCCGTGGAACTCGATGTCTTCGAGGGCATCGGCAGGCTCCCGACCTTGAGGACGACATGGAACCGACCCCGAAAGCCTCTCGAAGCCCCAAAGCACAGCTAAAGCTCATGTGGACAACCTTTTTTGAGGTTCCTGCGGTCCGAAAGGGACAGCCAAAGGTGCTTCTTAATCGGACGAGGGCGCTGTCATCTGAACCCCCCTAGACCCTAAACCCCCTTGGGGATGTTTGGTGGTCTCGGCCCGACTGTTCAAGGCTAAACGGCTTAGGCCTCGCCAGGGATCAGGGTCCTCAGCGGGTTCCGGGCAGCCATAACCAGACGAGAACGAAGTATGCAAAGACGCAATGGTTTAAGACATGCCAGCTTCTGGCTTCAGCGCACAGCTTCCAGTTGGGAAGGTCTTACATGAGGTATTGAAAGGGTCACGACGATATGCGGGCAGAGGTTGTTTTCGCGTCAGGGCGGCTCAGGTCGAGTTGTGCAAGTGAGTTGGTCCGGCGGTGTCAAAATTAACGAAGACAGGAGAAGAGTCGATGCTGCAGAAGTGGTGTTGAGTTTAAGGTTCGCAATGATTCAAAGCATTTTTCTTTACAGGGTTCCTCAACATACTAATACTCTAGTATAACCCAAAACTGCATAAGGCTTGTGAATGTCCACTCTTCGTCTTGCAGCGTCCTGGTCCAGACCAAGTTTGTTTGTTCCAGTTCCGGGGCTGTCGAAGGGCAGAGAAAGCACTCGGAAGATTGCCCTCGGAGCAGTCCATGCTCCTAGCTCCTCCATACTTTTCGCCTGTTTAACTTAAACTACCGAGCACCCTACAGCCCAAACCCAAACCCTTGCCCTGAACCTTAGCCTTCCATGGTGCTGGTAACAGCAGGCTAAGTTTGACCGTTCGTGCCATTTTGTGTTATCGTGGGTTGTCCGTTCTACGAGGCCAGGTTCACATTAGGTTTTGCTCCTGACATGCAGTCCATGTTGCTAGGGCCACACGTCTGAGCATCGCTAAATTGCATGCCTTCCCTCGGCTCCCATGCCTGACTGCTCTACTCTATACACCCACGATACCTGTTCAATTTGGGATGGAGATGAAGTGTGCCCTTTGTAGATTCTTATACTTAAAGCTTGGGTAGGGGGTTCGGGATTCGCATCTAGTCCACTCCATAAGACACCTTACCCTTGCCTGGGGGTAAACCCTGCCTACAAGTGTAAGCATGTAGTTATGCTTGGGAGCTTCATACATTTGGCAACCTTCAGTGCCTGAAAGCCTGCACAGCATCCTCAATACAGAGAGCTTGCGATGCCAGGATGAGTCCAAACATGTTTCCATGAAGGGACTCATGCAATGCTGGGGCAGGTTCACTGTGGACTGTTTCAGCCTCCTTGCTTGGGACCATCTAACAAGTCTGATCACCAACAGCTTTTGATGTGACGAAACGTGACATCAAATCAAGAGACCTCCACTGCTTCGAAATTCCCCTAAGGTTGGCGGTGCAGCTTAAGCAACTTGGACATCGTGCTGGAGACGTCGTCGTCGAGACTATGCTTCTGTGAAGTTTATCGTTACCGGTACCCTCCGGGTTCTCCGTAACAAACCACCAAACCACCTGAGTTGCTTCTTACACCATCCACCTTTCGCCAAAGCTTTGGCTTGAGAGGTGCCGACATGGAGTCTTCAGGGTTTTGCCGGGCCATGTCGCAATCTCTCGCCTCGCTTCTGCTGCTCGCGCCGCTGGCCCTTGGCGCGGCCCCGTCGTTTTGGCCCCGCTACGGTGGGGCACGGGAGGCAGATGATCCGGCTCGTAGTTTTCATGGGGCTTATACGGGGCTTTGGTGGTTTGCCACATTCGCACTCTGCTTGTGTGGCTTACGTCGACCTCGGAACCCTTGTCGGTCTTTTTTCTAGCTCTTCCCGAGCTCGGAGGATGAGCTCCGGCATGACGGAATTGCTGACTGCCTCTGAATCTGGCAGGGTCGGGGGTGGGGCTTGCTTCGCAGTGGTTGCGAGAGGTGGTTCTCTTGGACGGCGAATGGCAGTTCGGCCCCTGGGCTGCAGCTAAGCGTCTATATAGTAGAAGCCAGAAAGTTGGAACATCGTTATCCTACAATGACCTTTTGGTTTAATGTGCCGGGGACCCCGGCACTATTACATAATGATCCTAAATCCATGTTCCAGCTTTCTGGGGCTTACTTTAGAGGGGTTGGTCCCAGAAAACTGTGGTTGTAGCCCCTAATCCTTGTAATACCCAATACTACCCAGACACCCAAAATGGCCGATTACCCATTATGACCCCTATAAACCCCAAACCGAAGCGGAGAGGGTTTAGGTGCTGTCACGGGCCAGGGCCGCAAAGAACGCGCCACATTGTGCAAAGCACAAGTGATCCGCTGCAAGACCATGGGGAAAGCCCGGCTGAGGCTTCAACAGCGACAGGAGCTTCGATGTCCTAGCGCCCCTGGACACCAAGGTCGCAGGGTATTTTACAGGGAGAGGCAATTGTCCTTCTGATCTGGTGGCTAGGGCTTAAACCCTAAACCCTAAACCCTGCTTATAAGGCTTGTCCCAGTTGCGAGTGCTGAAACCCTAGGTAGGGGCCTCGGCTTTGGGCTTTACGTTTTTGTCATGGATCTGTGTGAGGCGCATTCGCTGCTGCGCCTAGGGCTTGTCGACACTCGTCCGCCTTGTCAAATCAGATTTAATGTAAGATTGGACGATGCAAGACCCCATGATCCGTAGCTGGGGAATCTTGACCAGCCCTACAGCCACAAAACCTGAAGTCCTATGTCAACATAGGAGACGTCTTGGTCCGTCGTTGTTACCCCATATGGTCTCCAAGTGGTGCGGGTTTGGCGTTCAGGGTTTTGGGATACCTGGCAGTCGCAACAAGCTTGGATACAAAAGGGCTTAGGGTTTAGGGGGTTGCAGGGAGGACGCTGCTTGGCTGCACCCACGTAATATAGGGTGTTTTCATTTCCGATTCTCCTGTTCTAGATGAGGAGACACCTGTTTTAGCGGCAGTATTTTCTAATCTGGACCAGAAGCTACTAGTAGAATGAGCCTAGTGAAATGTAGCAATTTATTTGAGTTTCTTGGCATTCGTCATAAAAAATCCCGCTGCAAACAATCCTATGAGTTTGGGTTTTCTAGTTGATTTCTGTATCACTTTTGGAGGACCCCAGCCTGACGCCAAACCGCACCTCTGTGCCTGCCTCCGTGGACGCGGCGCCGCCCGGGGTTCTGGGCCGAAGGGGCGTGGCACTCTACCGCCCCTTGGGCTTTGTTAGGGTTTAGGGTCCTAAGCCCTAAACCCTAAACCCTAAGCCCTTGGGCTTTGTTAGGACTTTCCGACTTTCCAGGATTACCTATGCCTAAACCTTAAGTTGTTAGGACTTTCTAGGAATACCTAATAGCCTAAACCTGCAACCTCTAAACCCTAAACCATAAACGCCTGAGCGTTAAACTATAGGTTTGGCTCGACCTCTGCGGAGAGAGAAAGTCCCAAAGCGCTTTCAACAAAAACTATAGTCAGTACTTTACGCCGTAGCTCTGAAGATGAAAAAATTACGAGCATCAACCGCCCAACTAATGCCACGAGATCAGCGCAGGAGAGGGCTCCGAGGCTTCCGTATGCGTCCTCCTTCTAAGACTTCTACGACACTTAGGGTTTAGGGTTTAGGGTTTAGGGAACATTTTATTGACATTAGTATCCCAGTCTTTCTCCACCCCACAGTCCGTCTCAAACCGAGGTACCCACTTTCTACAGAACGGCCATGCGCGGTTGCAGCTGCCTGACAGCATCGAAGAAACCTTGGTGAGGTTGCAGAGAGCTGGACACTTCGCAGGGCCTTGATGGGACTTGGCTTGGGTGTTAAGGATGTGAGGCTCAGGATCGGGGTGTTGGACAGTGGTCCAAGTAGATACTGCCTCCTCTACGAGGGTTCGCAGCCCCAAGACGCCTAGAGCGTTAAGCCCTGAATCCCAAACCAAAATCATTAAGACCTGAAGCCGGTGGTGGTGGCAACCCGGAAGCATGTCAGCGTAACTACCAATCTCGCTAGTTCATTTTTGCTTTTGTTGGTGCTACAAGACGAAGTGCCGGGTCGGATTGCAGTTCGCCACGAGTCTGATCCATTTGCATATAGTCAATGGCCTTAGTTATTCACTAACAGCATGGTCTTCCATCCTGGACCATGCACTGACTCGACGGACAGGTTTAGCTAGTGACTAGTGGCATTGTCATGGAAGCTGTATAATGTTGTGACAGTGGTGTTCGATGCAATTGCGTGACAGCCTCAAAACCCAGCACATGCCTTGATGATTCGCGCGCGCTTATCTTACAAGGATTTCGGTACTGGTCAAGCAGCAAGCAGGACACCCGGTGACTGAATTGTTTACACTGGCAAACAAAATTGCATGAGCAAGCACGGTGCAGCAACAAGAACAACACTTGCAATCCTGAAATGCTTGCCGGTCCTTTGGGCCATGCTCTCAGGTTTATGGGCTGCTCCTTCTACTGCCGCGTGTTCGTAGACGGACAAGAGGTGGGAGAGCACCGCGCAGGCAGGTTAGCCCTTACGGTTTAGGGATGTTAACATTTGGCACGACATGCGCGGTGGTTGCATGTTTTTGCTGC